CCAACACACACCCGCTGCTCCCTGCAGCCAGCCAGTGCCGCATCCTGGCAGCTCCAGGGAGACTGTGGCTGCCGCGTGGAGGCCTCCTTCCGGGAAGACGAGTCGGGGATTCCTCCAGCTTCCTTGGCACCCAGAAGTAGAGGGTCAAGGAGGGTCTTCCGAACTCGGCTTTCAGCTCAAGGTGCTGCCAGGGAGGGGAGAGGAGACAGGGGTCCTACGGCCCCGAAGACGGCAGCGTGGCCGGTGGGCTGTAGACGAGACAGGAATGGAGGTGATAGGTTACCAGGGCCGGGGAAGGACACCAGGGAAGCGGGGGTCGGGGGAGAGGGCTCTGGGATCACAAGGCAGGATGTGTTCTGCACTGCAGTGGGGGACCCCTTGACTGGGATTCTGGCCCCCTTCTGCTCTGACCCTACTGTGTGGCCTCAGGCAAGCCCCAGCAAATCCCGGGCCATCTTCTCTGAAATAGGAGCAGCGCCTGCCTGACCTCCCTGCACGAGAACCGGGTGGCAGGGACTAAAAGCTGCGAAGCACTGGAAGTTCACGCCATCTCTTGCAGGGCTCGTCTCGCTCTGGCCGGCCTCCCCCGGTGCGGTAGCCCCTTTGCACTGCCTGTTAAATCCCCCAGCCCACCCCACCCCCAGCCTCCCAACTCTTCCACCCACACAAAGGCACACACACCCTGAAGCAGAGACAGTTCAATAAACAGTGGCGTCTGGCCCACCACTGCTTCCCCGATAAGAGAAGTTGGACGTGGGCCTTCTAGAGCTGTGGCTGGCTCCATCCGGCCCCGAGCCCCTCTGGACCCGTGCACAGGAGGGGTCTGCAGGCTCAGCTCAGGCGCTTCACTTTCGTGAGGGCCCACACCCACGTCCCCGGGAGACCTGGGGTGGGGGAGTGGGTATAAAGGGTGAGAGGACAAGCGCATGACTCATCAGCTGGGAGGAGAGCCCCATGTGGGTGCCGAGGTCCAGGAACGAGGTACTGGGCCTAGCTGGTCCTCGCTGTTGCCTGACTCCGTTCAGTCCTCAAGAAGCAGAAACGGGCGGGTGAGATTTCTGAAAGTTTGGGGTTTGGCGAGCTCTAAGTCCCTGGGGTCCAGCTGGGGTGAGAGGGGTGGGCTGGGCGTCATGGCGCGGACGCTGGCCATGTGTTTCTGATTCACTGGTTCAGCCTGGCCAGCCCTCTCTCCAGTCCCTCCAGGCTCCTATAAAAAAGCCCTTTTCTTGAGAAGCAGGAAGTCTTGTCTCCTGGCTGTAAACAAACTCATCTTTGGCGGCAGAGCCCGCCTGGGGAAAGGGGTAGCAGAGCAAACCTCTCCCGGCCAGCCCCTCCCTGGCCCTTCCATGGCTCCTCTGGGTGACCCCAGGTCACGGCGCTCTGCCTCGTCCAGCAGGTAGAGCTCTCTGGCTTGCCTCCCACTCACTGGGGGCCGGGGCAGCCCTGGCAGCTGTGCACATCTGGAGTTGCCTGATGGCAGCGAGCAGTTCCTGGGACTCCGCACTCACAGTGGGGAGGGGAGCAGGAGGGGCCAGGAGCCAGTGTGGTCAGCGGAAGGGCGGTGGGCCTGGCCTCTCCAGCTGCCCTCTGGGGACTTTGTCCATGAGGTTGGGCCGGAGGCCTGAGTGTAGGCGGTCAGGCAGGCTCAGGGGCCAGCGCAGAGACCGGGAAGAGACCTGGCCTCTTCCATGGGAAACTGCTGGGACTGTTTCCCCACTACGCGTGTCCCGAGCTGCTGGCTGACCCCGCTTCCCATTCCGCCTCCGCGCCCCTCTCTTCTCCTACTCCTGCCCTGTCTCCGCCCCTCCCCTCCATTCAGCTCCCAGAATTAGCCGCCCCTTGGGGTCCCAGAGAGGCCGGAGTGTTCCCAGCCGCCACGTTTGGGGGCTAGCCCTCCCCAGTGCTCCAAGACAGCTGGAGTCACTGAGGCCACCCTCCTTGAGCCTGTCTCCTGGGCCCAGTACTGGAAGCCCAGTGCCGGGTCAGCCTGGAAGTAAACATGTTCCTGCTAGAGTGCGTGTGACACCCATGTAGGTCCCGCGTGGGCGTGGGCGTGCGTGTAACATCCTCATGATCCTCCTGGCTCCAGCCCTGCTGAGGCAGAGGGCAGATGGGAGCGCTGGTCAGCCCTGGAGGAAAACGCAGCGCCATGTGATGGTACCGGAAGAAGGGCCTCCGACTGCCGGGCCAGCTTCCCGCCAGGACCTGGGCAGCTCCCTGCCTGGGCAGCCATGGCCCTGGGTGCTCTGAGGGCTCCCTTGCCCTGGGCCAGCAGGAGCCCATGCAGGCAAACTTGGGCCTGTGCCGCAGAGGGCTGAGGCCCTAGGAGGAGCCGGCCTGAAGTCAGAGGGGCCGTCTTGAAGGCCTCTTCCTACTGTGCCTGCTCTTAAACGTGTCAGACCCGAGTTGGCCTCTGGAAGTGCTCCTGTCCCGGATTGCCGGCTCAGGCTGGGAGGCCTACGGGACAGGAGAGGACACGGCAGGGGGGCTGCCCGGCCCACCCTCGCCCGCCTCCTCACGTGGTGGCGTTGGGGACCTGCTGTACCCAGCCCACTTCCTTGTAGGCAGCGGTCACGTGGCTGCAGATGAGGCCCCGCAGCTTGGCCCAGGCTCGCTGCGTCTCCGGGGGGAAGTCGTTGGCAAACTCCTCGGCGACCACCTCCAGGATGACCCCAGAGAGGATCTGGGGGCAGAGGGAGTAAAGGGTAGTAAAGGCCTGGGCACCCTGCCTCCCACAGCCCCCAGGAGCCAAGGGATCACCCCTGTCATCCAGCCAGCAGCTGTGGGAACCGGACACTCAGCACAAGGGCCTCCCTGGACCCAGACCCTCGTCCTATGACCAGCCACTCCCCACACTGTCACGGGCACTCCAGAAGAAGAGACTGGCCGTCCAGCGGTCACCTCTGCTGCCCAGAGAGCCCTCCCAGAGCTGCAGGTGGCCATGGCGCAGGGGCCCTGGGACTCCGGAGCAGAGCAGGGTGGGTGTAGGGTGGCAGCGCCCACCCGGTGACATACCTTGAAGTACACAGGCTCCACCTTGTGCTTGAGGGCATGGGCTTTGCCCACGAGGGCGAGCACGGAAGACACCTTGTCGGGGTCGTGCAGGTTCTCCACGACTGTGTTGAGAGCCCCCATGACCCGGCAGGCGTGCTTCCGCAGCTGGGGGCTCCGCTCCATTTCCAAGGGCTCCTCCATGTGCTTGAACTGGCTGAAGTACTGCTTGGCCGAGGGGAAGTTCACGAAGAACCTGGCAGGAGGGAGCAGGGAGGGTACTGATCAGGGCTGGCCCTGGCCCCGGCCCGAAGTGGCCAGGATGGCAGGGGAGGGCCGGGGAACACCCCTGTCACTGTTCTCACCACCACTCGTAGCTGTCCCTCAAACACAGACCCTCTGGCCACACTGGCTTACATGCAGCCCTCACCCAGGTCCTGCAGGTCTGCCCTCCGGCTGTGCTTGGTCTGCAGCCTCCTCTCCCAGGCCTCGACCTTCCCTGCTCCCCGTCGCCTTCCCAAACCCTACACAGCCTTCAAGGCCTGCTCCAGTCATAGCCAAGAGGGTACGCACTCGGGTTCCAGAACCGCAGGCCATTGTGGCTTTGGGCAAGGTATTTCACTTCCCTGAGCCCCCGTTTCCTCCTCTTTATGGGCATCCTTGTTCCTACCCCATGGGCTGTTGTGAGGAGGAAGTGAGAAGCTGCGCGTCCTCAGGAATGCAGCCTCGATTACGACACAGTGAGAGCTCTCACACGGAGCAAGGAGCCGGACTAGCTAGGGTCCTTCTGCGGAGAGCAGAAACAAACTCAGCCTTCCTCCTCCCAGCCCAGTCCCTTCCTTCACCGCCCTGCTTCCCTCTCTGGCCCGCAGTAAATCCTGACGGGCCGATGTGATTAACCACGGCAGCTGGAGCTGGTCTTCCTGCCTGCCTCACCTTTGCATGGGTCTCTCCTCCCCAGCCCGCCTGCGACTTGTCTGGAGCAGACCTCAGGCCATCCCAGCTCCAGCCTCTCCCCATCCCAGTTAACCTGAAACTGTCTAATTCCCTCCAAATACCACCTTCGTTAGGTCCTGCGCATGCTCAAAGTCATTCCGTGGCTCCCCACTGCCTACCAAAGCCAGAACTCCCGAACCAGGCCTTCTAGGTTTCTCACAAGGGCCGGCAGCCCCCTCTTCATCAGCACGCCCATGTTTCCCCCTACTCCGGCCCTCTCTGCTCCAGCCCAACACCTCCGCCCACCCGTGGGCCCAGCGCTGCCCCAGGGCCAGTGTCTGTGTCTGCAGGATGGAATGCCTTCCTTCCTCATTCCGTGTCAGACCTGCCGCTCCCTGACCCCAAGCTGCCCCTCCTGCTGCCTGCTCTTCAAGGCCGTGCGGGCCGCTCGAATGGCCACCCTTTCGGTCTGTCAGACTGGACCCCAAACCCGCTGGCAGAGGCTGTGCCTTACACACTCGCCAAACCATCACCCAAGCCCGGGCCCCTGCAGTGCCCAGAATGACGGCAGCATCTGTACCCCCTCGCAACAGAGAATGGGTATGGCGACGCATGCGGATTCCATCAGAGCTTACGACTTGGAGTGACTCCTCAGAAAGTGTGTGGGAGGGTCGGACCTGTTTATTTCATGTTGTTTCAAACTTCTGATGTAACCCCCTTTGTGATCAGAGCAAGCCTATAAGGTGTCACCCCAGCCCTTTGCCGGGGCTCGAGCCCCAGATGTGAGAGCTGGGACAGATGCAAAGCGTGCCTGGCCGGCCAGCCCCCCAGCCATGCTGCACCTATGGCCTGGCCAGAGCATGGGCCACGGAGGAGAGACAGGAGGGCCCCTCTTAGAAGCCGAAGTGACCTAGAGCAAAGGACTTCTCAACCCCCTGTCTGCAGAAGTGTGAGGGGAGTCCCTCCAGCTCACTCCTTCCCCATACCCTGGGGAGGACAGTGAGGCACTCGGTCTGAAGAGGCGCAAGCTTCTTCTGGAGAAGCATTGTAACGGGAAGAAGCCGATCGGGGCTTAAATGAGCACCTCGGACTTTGGGAGTTTTATAATCCCAATAAAAATAATGACATACATTTGCCTGGTGTGTTACGATTTGCACAGCGTCTCCACCTACGTTGTCTCTAACTGCCAGGACTCAGCAGGTATGGCATCCGCGTTCCTGATAAGGGCCTGATGCCCAAGGGTGTACCCCGGAGCTGAGGAAGCCTTCGACACCCTCCTGAGGCTGGCCTGGGTGTTAGCTCCGTTTTCCTGACGAGGGCCTGATGCCCAAGGTTGCCTAACGAAGCAGGCAGCCGCACCAGGTGGCAGTCTGGACAGTGTCCCCACACATCTAGAGTCTTCTGTGCCAGAGACCCAGCTGGGTCTCCTGCCACAACACCCAGCACCAGCCCAGGGCCTCAAACAATGGCAGTTCCAGGGAGTGCCAACCCAGAGCTTTGGGGTCAGGGCAGTCCAGGGGTCACGTTCACCTACCCTCCCTCCCAGCCCCTCTGTGTTTCCTCCCGACTCCCAGATTCAGCCTGTGCTGCCGGGGAGCAGCCTTAGCCCCCCGCCCGAAGCTGCTCAGCTCACGGAGGCAGCTGGGCTTCCAAGAGAGCCTGAAATAGGCTGTGTCTGGACGTGAGGAGGAAGGTGTCAGAGTTACCACCAGGAGGGAGGGTGGGTGTTCCCTCTCGGTCTCCTCCCTGGCAGCCAGTCGAAGTGTGGGGTCTGCCTCAGGTCCCAAGGCAACTCCTCCTCCACCACAGCCAGCCAAGAGCTGCTGGCATCAAGCAGCAGGTTGGCCTGGCCACAGAGGCCTCCTCGCCCTGCAGTGGAAAGGGCTGTGGGGCCGGCCTGGCCCAGCGGGGAGGTAGGAGGTGACAGTGCCATCAGAGGGTGAGCATCTCCCGCTCTTACTGGGGCCTGGCCCTGTGGGGGTGTGTGTTGTATGTGGGGAGATAGGGAAGACTTATGGGCACAGGCTCTGGGGGCAGAGCGGTGGGCGTCCCCTCCCGCACTGGCCAGCCATGGGGCAGACAGCAGGAGGAGCCTGAAAAAGAAAGGAACAGTACTAGGATTGGGCTAGCAGTTGGGTCCGGTGGCCCCAGCCTGGGTCAGCACAGAGGGGTCCAGGAGAAGCAAGTCCGTATCTGACTGCGTCTCAGGCCTGCTCAGATTCGTTGTGGACACCAGGATTGGGAACTGGAAGTGTGTAGAGAGAAAGCCTTGCCCGGAGCTCGAATGGTCCAGGAACAGCCCTGCCCGCGGAGTTCAGCTCCCTCTTCTGCACATCCCCCACCCCACCTTGTTACTGGGGAGGTCTGGTGACACCCTGAGGGAATGGATCATGGACACAAGCCCTTTACATCCCCAACAGTAAATGGTGGGGTTGGGGCAGAAACTAACCAGGGTCCAGTGGGCCCTGCGTCGATTCCCCGTGGTGACCCATGGAAATCGGCGGCCCACAGCAGCCAGCAGCCCCCACCCTCCACCCCGGGATGCAGTCTGGCGCATCTGGGACTCCTCTCCCCACTGTGTGCTTGTGTGGGTGCTCACACGTGCAGAACTGCGGCTCCTAGAGTCGGAGGCTTCAGGATCCCAATCCTCCTGGTAGCTTCCGGCCACCCCCGGCTGCTGCTGCGTTTCTGGGCCCCGGAGCTGCTGAAATAGCTGCCCCCTCCTCAGGAATCCTCCTCTAACTCCTCAGAAGTGCTTCTTGCTCTTTTTCCTCCAAAATCCATTTCCAAGTTGGATCAGGGCATATCACTATGGAGCTGGGAAGGTCCCAGGCTTGGGGGAGGCAGAAAGGAGGGACAGCCTGGGGCAAAAGAAGAGCCGGAGACTGGCAGACAGGCGGGCACTACAGCATCCTTCCACGCGAGCTTTCACCCCATCGTCCCCAGACTGCCCCGCTGTGTCCTAGATTTGACAGTTCCCTTCTGCCAAGGATGGGGGGTTGAGAGTGAACATGGCTGGGCCCCTCTTCACCTGCACCCCAGGGCCCAGCACGTGTGGGAAGAGAGCATTCATCTGCAGCCAGCTTTTGGGGCGTGGGGACATCAATTATATCAGAATGGAGCGTGTGTGCCCATGTGCAGGTGTGCAGATGACAGTGTTGCTGCGTCTGTGCGTCCCTCAGGGGATGTCGGGCCGGAATGGGCCTGCATTTCCTCCTTAGGTGGGGCCCTTCAGGTGGGGCCCAGTGTCCTGAAGTTTCTTTCTCCCTCCTCCCCTAAACTCAGCAGGATTGCACCCCTGGGGCTGTTGGCTCCTCCTGGCTCACCTGGGAGCTCCCTGCTGGCTCACTCTCTTGGCGTGGAAAGGGGGCGTCTGGGAAAGCTGGCCCCAGGGTCTGCCTCTGACCTCTATCCTTTTGGCCTTCTCTCTTCTTCCCAGAGGTTTTGCACAGGGAAAGGGGCTTTGCTCCTCTTCATCCCCCTTCTTGGCCTAACCTCGGTTTTCCTGTCTCTAAAATGGGAATTCCCCACTGTCCCCTTTGAAAGGCTGGTAAAATGTACCTTGGCCTGCGGCTGGGTCGCGGGAGAAGACACAGATGGCCTGAGCCAGGAGTTGGGAGGCCAGGGAGAGGAGGGAAACGGAGCTGTCTTTCCTCCACCTCTGGTTCCTAGTTCCTGGAGAGCCGGCGTCCAGAGCCAGGAGGAGCTCAGCCAGGGCTTTGCCCACCCCAAGGCGCCCCACACTGCCTGGCCCTGGAGGCCTGGCCCCGACCCAATCACAGCTGGGGAGGTGGCCCGGAGCTCGGACCGGCAGAGCCTGCCCTTCTCCAGAGCCTCTGCCTGCCCTCCCTGCCCCGGGCGCGGCCGAGCCGGGGCGACACCTACCTCACCAGGATGGCCACCCCCACGTCCTCGCAGTTGGCATAGAGCCGGGCCCACGTAGCCTGCACCGCCTTCCTCTCCGCCTCGGACAGCTCCTCGCTCCGCTCCCTGCGCTCAATCTCCATGTCTCCCGGCACTTTCTCCATGAGCAGCTCCGAACCCAGCCCGGCTTCTCTCCGCGGCGGCGGGGCGCGGGGCGCGGGG